TTTATTTATTTATTTATTTATTTATTTATTTATTTATTTATTTTAATTTTGCTAGAAGACACATGCACACACCAGAGAGAAATGGAGAGAAGGAATGGGAGAAAGCACTCCTACAATGGAGCTTGGTCATTTTAAAATTCCTTCTCCTCCATTTCTCTATCCTGGTGAGATATTGAGCATGCTTTCCAAGCCACCAGGGCTGGGATTCAAACTGCCTGACCCTTGTAGGATCCAGTTGACCACATGGGATCCAATTCCTTTAACCACTAGACCATGAGGTCAGCCCACCAAGAGTTCTTTTTACATTACATTGTGTTCTTTCCTTTTTCTTTATAATTTTCAAATGGTAATGTTTTAGTAAAGAAGCTAAATATAATGAAATGTTATAACAAGCTTGTCGATTATTTTCCATATAAAACTAGTGAACTCGGGGACCAGAAGAGGGTATAACAGTTTTGTCATTAAACTCCCAGATGGCCGACCACAGTTTGAGTCCCAGACTGGGTGGCTTGAAACAGACCAGGTGTGGGACCAGCACATGGTGTAATGGGTACGTCACTGGACTCCCATGTAGTCGATTAGGGTTTGAGTCCCAGACCCAGTGGCTTAAACTGATGCTGGGCACGTGTGTGTGTGCCCAAGATCCTGAGAGGAGAATGGAGGAGAAGGGATTGGGGTGTGGCCATCATCCCCTGGGGGAATAATTTATTGCTTTCTTTTTCTCTGTCTCTGTCTTTCTAGCAAACTCACACACCTTATAACAAAAACCTCTCTCAAAAAAAAAAAAAAGAAAAGAAAGAAAAAAGAAAAAGAAACATACCAGGTGCATGTGTGTGTGTGCCCAAAATCCTAAGAGGAGAAGGGTCAGCAGCATGGTCATCCCCTCTGAGAGGTGATTTCTTGCTTTCTTTCTCTCCATCTCTCTTTATCTCTCTGACAAGCACACCCCCCCATAGCGAAAATCTCTCTAAAAAAAACCAAAAAACAAAAAACAAACAAAAAAGAAAACTAGTGAACTCAGAAAAAATATAAAGAATATTTTTTAAATAATTATTATATTTAACTTTATTGAACCCCAATCAGCCATGTGGGAGTCCAGAACCCTTAGCCACCATGCCACCTGCCAGTCCCCTGAAGAATAATTTTTAGGGAACCATGCTTGACTGTGGTTCGAGTCCCAGACCTGGCAGCTTGTTTTCTTACTTTCTCCCTCTCTTTCTCTCATTCTGTTCCCTTCTGGTCAAAATTTAAATAACTAAATAAAATAAAATAAAATAATTTTTTAAAAAAATTATAAAATTAGGTAGTAACAATGAAGGCACAATTCTAAATACACTAAAATTCACTGCCTTGTACTTAAAGTAGTGAGTAAAATTTTATGATATAAATAAAATTTATGATGTGTAGGTTACGGTGTTGTAACACTGCTTTTATATCTATATAGCAATAAAATATAATGAAGAAATAAAACCATTTGAAAAATAATAGTACACTAGGGAGCCAGAAGGTGACATAGTAGTTAAGGTGCTGGACTCCCATATGGCTGACAGTGGTTTGAAGCCCTGACTAGGAGGCTTAAAAATCATGCCAGAGAAGTGGGCATGCATGTGTGCCCAAAAGCCCAGGAGGAAAATGGAGGAGCGGGGATTGCCACATGGCCATTCCTCCTGGGGGTGATTTCTCACTTTGTCTCTCTCCAGCAAGCATGCATGCCCTATGGCGAAAACCTTCAAAAAATGAATAATAGAACACTGGACACATACACACCACCCAATTTAAGAAAGAGAGCATTAACTCGTACATGCAGAGTCCTCTATAAATTCCTTCCCCATCCTATTCTTGCCTTCCCTAGAAACGACCACCATCTTGAGTACTATAGTAGTGACTTATTTTTTTAAAAACAATTTTATAAAGAAACTTATGTTTTCTTGGGAACCAGCAGTTAGCTTAATGGCTATGTCGCTGGACTCCCACGTAGCTGACCGCAGTTCGTGTCCCAGACCCGGTGGCTTAGAACTCACACCAGGCGCGTGTGCGTGCGTGCCCAAGATCCCGAGAGGAGAATGGAGGAGAAGGGATTGTGGCATGACCATCCCCTCTGGGGGGTGATTTCTCGCTTTCTGTCTCTATGTCTCTCTCTGTCTGTCTGGCGAGCACATGCGCCCTATAGCGAAAACCTCTCCAAAAAAAGAAACTTGTGTTTTCTTATAATTTTCTATTTTTTCTTTTATTTTTGTCAGAGGGTTTGTGTACTCAATTGAGAGAGAAAAAAAAAACACTCCACATGGAGAATGGTCACACCACAAACCCTTCTCCTCCACTTTTCCCTCCTTTTAGGATTTTGAGTCATGCAAATGCATCATTATATTTTTCAGGTTGTTGGGTCTGGGACTCAAACTCTGCAGTCAGCCACATGGCATCCAGCTCTCTTAACCACAGTGCCATTGGCCGGTCCATAATTTTCTGTCTTTTTCTTTCTTTTTTTCCTCTTTCTTTCTTTCTTTTTTTCTTTTTGGAGAGATTTTTTTTGCTAGAGGGTGCTTGCGCTCACCAGAAAGACAGAGAGAGACAGAGAGATAGAAAGTGAGAAATCACCTCCCCCCCCCCAAGAGGGGATGGCCACACTGCAATCCCTTCTCCTCCATTCTCCTCTCAGGATCTTGGGCATGCACACACATGTGCCCGGCATGAGTTTAAGGCACTGGGTCTGGACTCGAACCGCTGTCAACTACATGGGAGTCTAGCAACATAGCCATTACACCAATTGCTAACCCCCTTAATTTTCTTCATAAGTTGTCTTCTATATATGTGTTTCTAAATGACGTATAGTTCAGTCTTTTGTACACACCTTTGTATATACCAAACCACATTTTGTTTATTCTGGGATAACCTGTTTTGCTCAACATTGTTTTTGAGATTCATCCACATTGTTAAGAGTAGCTGAGACATTTGTGTTCATTTTTAATTAATACTTCATTGCATAAATAAATATTCATTCTCTGATCAATGGACATTTACATTCTAATGTTTTACTCTTTCTTTTTCTTTTTTTGGAGAGGTTTTTGCTATAGGGCACGTGTGCTCTCCAGAAAGACAGAGAGAGACAGAGAGATAGAAAGTGAGAAATCACCCCCCGGGAGGATGACCACACCGCAATTCCTTCTCCTCCATTCTCCTCTCGGGATCTTGGGTACGCACGCACACGCGCCAGGCATGAGTTTAAGCCACCAGGTCCGGGACTCGAACCGCGATCGGCTACATGAGAGTTCAGCAACATAGCCATTATGCTAACTGCTGGTCCCCTCACGTTTTACTCTTATGAATAATACTGGTTTGTGTTCCTGGCACAAACATGCGTGAATTTCTGTAAATTTTATGCCCAGAAGTACAGTTGCATATTCAACTTTATACTAGAGGCTGTCAAGCTTTTTTCTGAAATGACTGTACCATTCATACAACTACGGACAGTGCAAAAAAGTGATAGAAGTACAATCAAGAAAAACAGAATTAACAGTAGCTATAATTTGGATTGAGGAGTGCAAGAACAAGAACAAAGTTACAGGGGGCAGTAGGTGGCGTGGTAGTAAGGCTCCAGTCCCACATGTCTGACTGCAGTGGGAGTCCCAGATCCGGCGGCTTGAAAAATCATACCAGGGATGTGCACATGTGTGCCCAATATCCCAAGAGGAGACTGGAGAAGGGATTGAGGCATGGCCATCCCTCCTGGGAGAGAAGAGATTTCTCACTTTCCCCTGCACTGTCTCTTTCTCTGTAGGAAGCACATACACCCTATGGCAAAAACAAAAACAAAACAAAGAATAAAGTTTTTTAAGAGAATTTTACTCTAAGGTGCGTGTGCTCGCTGGAGAGATAGACAGAAAGTGAGAAATCACCCTTGGGGGGCAGCCATGCTGCAGTCCCTTCCATTCTCCTCTTAGGATTTTGGGTACACATGCACATGCACCCGATGTAAGTTTTAAGCTCCCGGGTCTGGGACTCGAACTGTGGTCAACTACATGGGAGTCCAGTGACGTATTATGATGCCATCTTCGGGTCCCATACAAAAATAACTTTTTTTTTTTTTGAAAGAGAGATTTTTGCTATAGGTTGCATGTACTAACTGGAGAGACAGAGAGAGACAGAGAGACAGAAAACAAGAAATCACCTCGGGGGGATGGCACGCTGCATTCCCTTCTCCGTTCCCTTAGGATCTTGGGCACACACGCACGCATGCCTGGCATGAGTTTTAAGTTGCTGGGTCCAGGACTTAAACCAGAGTCAATTATGTGGGAGTCTAAGCAATGTAACCATTATGCCATCTATTGGTCCCTTAAAATATCTTAAGGTAGGTGTGGAAGAAGCCCTGGTGGACCTTATCCTTTCTTCTTAAATTGCCTACCTATGCTTACTGGGAGTGAAAGATTAATCACATGGATAGATGAAAGTAACAATTAGTTTGTTTTGGCCTCTGCTGTGATGTTTGCTGTGGTGGTAGTATTTTTTCTATTGCATGGGTATAGCTAACCCATGCAATAGAAAAAAAAATTTTTTTTTTTTTTGGAGAGATTTTCACAGTAGGGCGCGTGCGCTCGCCAGACAGACAGAGAGAGACATAGAGACAGAAAGCGAGAAATCACCCCCCAGGGGGGATGGTCACGCCGCAATCCCTTCTCCTCCATTCTCCTCTCGGGATCTTGGGCACGCACGCACACGCGCCCGGCGTGAGTTTTAAGCCACCGGGTCCGAGACACGAACCGTGGTCGACTACGTGGGAGTCCAGCGACATAGCCATTACGCTAACTGCTGGTTCCCTAGAAAAAATTTTTTATAGAAATTTTAGATGAAAATGTTGAGAAGATCGAAGAAGAGAGCTGAAAGCAAAGCAGTCACTGTGAAGGCTAGCAAGCTGCCCCACCACGACAGACATAATTATTTCAGTTCTAAGAACATCGTCCTCAAGCACTGGACCTACCTCTAGAGGCTGGTAACATCAGAGGTACTGAGTCTGTATCTCTAACCGGCAGGTCCTCTGATGTGTCGTCCAACAGCTGTAACATCATCTCAGTTCACAACCTGTAAGAGAGCCACAAAAACCACTGAGTTGAAGTGAGAGCATGACGAATCACATGCTACGTTAGTGTGGCCTTTGTAGGCTGTAGCAAGAATTTCTCAGCACTTGCATGATGATATAGGACACCATTCTGGTCATTTGGTGGTGGTGTGGACAACTCTATACTATAGAAAATAACTAAGCATTGGGGGGGGGCGTGCAGTAGGTAGCCTGGTGGTTGTAGTGCTAGATTCCCACATGGCCAGCCATAATTCAAGTTCTGGACCTGGTGGCTTGCTTTCTCACTCTCTCTCTCTTTCTCTCTCTCATGAGCACACAGCCCCTGTGGCAAATTTTAAAAATAATAATAACAACATGGGGCTGGCAGGTGATATGGTGAAGGGTGCTGGACTCTCAAATGGCTGACCGCAGTTTGAGTCCTGGACCTGGCAGCTTGCTTTCTCACTTTCCCTCTATCTCTCTCTTTCTCTCTCTCTTATTCTGTTACTCTGTGGTCAAATTAAAATAAATAAATAAATAAATAAATAAAACAATTCTTTTAAAAATAATATAAAATAAGTAATTCAAAAAAAGACTAAGCATTCAGTAATAATAATACTATTTGCTCAAAATGAAAATTACTTTTTGAATGTAGATTGCAGACGCATAATGGTAAATAGCCCTGGGTCACCTCAAGAACAAATCATTCTCTATAAACTATTTGTTGGATGGTGCAGAAATGAGAAGGAGAACATGAGTGGAATTTGTTTATAGTTCATTCCTAGCAACTACTCAAGAGCAGGTCATGAGCTGTCGTTTGAGTTCTAAATTGAACTCAACTCAATGTGAATCTCAGGAAAAATGACGTGCTCCACCTATGATAGGCTATAAATTTGTAGTTTTTTTTCCTACTCTAAGAGTAAAAAACAAACAAACAAACAAAAAACAATTAAAGTGCTTCATGAGGAAATTTTTTAATGAAAATTAATTTTTCTGGTTATAGAATTGTTGTCTATCACTTTGGATTCATTTTTAAGTGTCTGCTCAGTCTCAAAGCCAATGACCGTCAGCTTTCTCTGACAAATGGGCTTTGAGCTCTCCCTCCATTCAATTTTCAGGGACCAGTTCCCCAAAAAGTAGTGTATATTCTATGATCCAGACTTCATAACCATTGCTAATTGAACCAGAATAGACAACTGACCGAGGCGGGGCCAATCACATTCTCTCTTCCAGGAGATTGAAAACAGGGCTAGCGGGATTAAATTAGTCTTTGTGGATGGCTAGAACTATCACATAAATGTGGGAGGTATGGGATGGCCATATTGTGTTCTATGACTTGAATAATCAGGAAATCTTACATGTAGATTTGCCTCACACCTTGGTCAACAGTCTTTTTTCTGGACGATAGTACCCAATGTCCTGGCTTTAAATATTATGTACAAATGTGCTGTTTCTTTCAAAATGTATATCTCTAGCCTTGACTTTCAGACTTGTACAACTTCCTGTCTTTAAACATTTCCATTTGCATGGCTACTAGGTATCTCAAACTCATTTGTTCCAAATTGGAATTTTTATTTCTCTCTGCAACCTAATTTTCTTTTTTTTAATTTACCATAAGCCACATGTGTTCACTAGAGAGACAGAGAGTTGAGGTGTGGGTAAGAAAGCAAGTCACCAGGTTAAGGACTCAAACTGCAGTGAGCCACGTGGGAGTCTAGCACCTCAACTACCACACCACATGCTGGCCTTAACCTGATCTCTCTCTCTCTCTCTCTTTTTTTATTTTTAAGAGAGATTTTTGCTATAGGGTATGTGTGCTCACCAGCAAAACGGAGAGACAGAAAGCAAGAAATCACCTGCCCAGCAGGGAGGTGGGGTGGCCTCGCTGCAATCCCTCCTCTATTCTCCTCTCAGGATCTTGGGCATGCACACACATACACCTGGTCTGGGACTTGAACTGCTGTCGACTACATGGGAATTCAGCAATTTAGTCATTATGCCATCTGCTGGTCTCAACATGATTTTTTTTTCTTTTTCTTTTCTTTTCTTTTTTTTTTTTGGAGAGGTTTTTGCTATAGGGCTCGTGTGCTCGCCAGAAAGACAGAGAGAGACAGAGAGACAGAAAGCAAGAAATCACCTCCCATGGTGGATGGCCACGCCGCAATCCCTTCTCCTCCATTCTCCTCTTGGGATCTTGGGCATGCATGCACACGCGCCTGGCATGAGTTTAAGCCACTGGGTCCAAGACTTGAATCGCGGTCAGCTACATGGGAGTTCAGTGACATAGCCATTATGCTAACTGCTGGTCCCTCAACCTAATCTTTTTTAAAAATTCCCTATCTCCACAAGGCATTACTAGTCCAACAGTCCTAAAGTCTTGATTATTCCCCCTCCTTCATCTATTAGCATGTTCTCCAGATTCTTTCTAAAAAAAAAGGTGTATCATCCTTGGGAACCAGCAGTTAGCGTAATGGCTATGTCGCTGGACTCCCACGTAGTCGACCGCGGTTCATGTCCTGGACCCAGTGGCTTAAAACTCACGCCAGGCGCGTGTGCGTGCATGCTCAAGATCCCGAGAGGAGAATGGAGGAGAAGGGATTGCGGCGTGACCATCCCCCCTGGGGGGTGATTTCTCGCTTTCTGTCTCTATGTCTCTCTCTGTCTGTCTGGCAAGCGCACGCGCCTTATAGTGAAAATCTCTCCCCCAATAAATACATAAATAAATAAATAAAGTGTATCATCCTCAAGGCCAACAAGTGGTGTGGTTAAGGTGCTGGATTCTCACATGGCCAACACAGTTCAAGTCCCAGATTTGGCAGCTTATTTCTCACGTTCTCTCTCTCTCTCTCTCTCTCTCTCTCTCTGGTGAGTGCACATGCCTTATAGCAAATTACAAAATAAGAATGATAATATATAAAATTAAATAACTAGCTTTTAAAAACAATTATCTTGTCTCCAATTTTTTTAAGAATTATTTATTTAACTTTATTTATTTATTTGTTTAGTTTAATTTGACCAAAGAGGGACAGAGAGAGAAAGAAAGTGAGAAAGAAAGCCGCCAGGACCAGGATTCTAACCGCAGTCAGGCATGTGGGAGTCCAGTGTCTTTAACCACCACACCACATTCCAGCCCCTCTAATATTTCAATTCAAGACACCTATGTGTCTTTCTTCATAAAGTTTTCCTAATGCTCTCCTCATTTTCCTCCCCATTCTCCATCAGTTCTCCCTGAGACACCGAGAGAGTGACTTTTTTTTCAAGAATTATTTTATTTTAGGGGCCAGCAGGTGGGATGGTGGTTAAAGGCACTGGATTCCCACATGGCCAGCAGTGGTTCGAGTCCCAGACCTGGTGGTTTGCTTTCTTGCTTTCCCTTTCTCTCTCTCTGGCCAAATTGGAAAATAATAAATAAATTTAAAATAAAATAATTATTTTCTTAAAAAAGGAATTATTTATTTATTTAATTCATTTATTATTATCATTATTATTATTATTATTAATTTGTCCAGAGAGAGAGGGGGAAAGAGAAAGGAAGCCACCAGAGAGGGAAAG